CTTACATATAAATCTTATTTATCACATTTATACAAATTCTTGATAATTCATGTTTTCATTTTTAATAGTTTATATTTTATATAAAAACACTAATATATACATCCTCCAAAAACTACACACTCCGTTACACATTGACAGTTTTTATTAATATGCTGTTAAAATTAACAGAAACCGTTAGTTTTAATGGTGAAACTAATAAAAATAGTCAGTTTTAACTGTAAAAATAACAAAAATCATCCATTTTAATGACACATTGGCAAAAATCATCAGTGTGTAATTTTAGAGGATATATGTATCATTTTCCTTTATATAAATATACTACATAAGACTAATACATAATTAAATCCCTTCTCTTTTTCAATTAGTAAATTTTAAATATTTTATTTTCCTTTTAATTATTTAATTAAATAAAAATATTAACTTTCTTTTTCCTCAATTTTCATTTATCCAAATAAAATAAAGATTAACCCTCCTTCCCTTCTCTTCTCCTCCTTTCCATTTCCCTTCCCTTGTTTTCCTTTCCCTTCTCTCTTTTCTCTTCCTTCTATTAATTTTTATGCAAACACAAAGCATAGAGTTAGAGTTAGAGTAGATACAAAAAAAATATAATTTTAAGAAAGGCTTAAAGTTTGATATATGTACCCAGAAAAAAAAAAAATGGGACCCCGTGTTTGCCCCTAATTAAAATTAAAATTTACAAAAGCATGACATAAATAAAAATGCCTTGTCTTTATAAATTTCAGCCCTTGACCATATGAACCTTTATCGAACGGAATTGGAGCTTCATTAGTTCTGTAGACAATTTCTCAAAAAGATAAAAAAAAAAATTGGGAAATCTTCTTATAAATTACAATGGCAAGGGCTTACGTTTGTAAATTTGTGTTGGAGAAAGGGTCAAATATGACAGCACAAAGTCCTGAGTTGGAAATATTCTGCTGAAATTTTAAGCGCATATTGCAAGAGCTTTTGAAACCATTCTTTCTTAGAATTATCCTTGTAAAGAGACAACTCTCCCACCATTCTATCTTGACTGAAGTGATTATGTAAATATACTCTGATCCTTTCTGATTGTTTGAGTAAGCTTGAGACTGGAGTGTACAGCCATGGCTTCAGGGTTATCAATGAAGGGTGAAGGTGGGCAGTACAATGGTAGGATCACCTCAGTCATTCTTTTCTCTTGCTTAATGGCTGCCACGGGAGGATTCATCTTTGGTTATGATCTTGGAATATCAGGTTACTCTCACTATAATCATCCTTGACTCTTCTCCTCTGCTGTAATTCATATCTTGTTATGGTTTATGACGACTTTCATTGGAACCCTGTAGGTGGAGTAACCTCCATGACACCATTTCTCAAAGAGTTCTTCCCAGATGTGTACAGAAGGATGAAAGAAGACAAAAAGATTAGCAATTACTGCAAATTTGATAGCCAACTGCTCACGTTATTTACCTCTTCACTCTACATGGCTGGTCTCATTGCTTCCTTCTTTGCATCACCAGTTACTAGGGCTTTTGGACGCAAGATGTCAATCCTTGCGGGAGGGGTAGCATTTCTTGCTGGTTCAGCATTGGGAGGTGCTGCTTTGAACTTGTACATGCTGATATTTGGCCGTGTCTTGCTTGGTGTTGGGCTTGGATTCGCAAACCAAGTAGGAAATATCAATTCCTTCTAGATTTAATTTGTTCTCTTTTTTCTATGTCTTGTGCAATCTTGTGTTTATGTTCAAACTCAGACAGATGAACTATTGAATGACTATGTGTATATGAGCTTTAACCCTATTAATTGACTCTGAGTCTGTGAGCTTTAACCCTAAAGGCTGGATCCACTGGTCGAATGCTCTCTTGTAGTTCAGGTTTCAGGTTTAAGTCTTAGAGCTAGCACCTAAGAAAAATGTGGTTGTGTTTAACTCGGTCTTACTAGTGACTCTAAAGTAGATTATGATAAAATTTTCTTTGGTCTACAGTCAGTTCCACTATATATCTCTGAAATGGCACTACCACAACACAGAGGAAAAATGAACATTGGCTTTGATCTTGGTGTTGGCATTGGTATACTTATAGCTAACATCACCAATTATGCCACTCGAAAGATCAGGGGTGGATGGGGTTGGCGCATCTCCTTATCTATGTCAGCAGTCCCAGCAGCAATCCTAACACTATGTGCACTCATTCTTCCAGAAACGCCCAACAATCTAATCCAAAACAGAAAGAACCACCAGAAAGCTAAGAGGGTGCTACAGCGAGTACGAGGCACTGCTGATGTTGAAGCTGAATTTGATGATCTCATAAGAGCAAGCTCAGTTTCAGAAATCATCAACCATCCATTTAAGAACATCATGACAAGAAAGTACAGACCTCAATTAGTAATGGCAATAGCCATACCATTTTTCCAAGAAGTGACAGGGATAAATGTCATTACATTCTATGCTCCAATCTTGTTCAGGACAATTGGCGAAGGAGAAAGTGCTTCACTTTTGTCTGCAGTTGTCATTCGTCTTGTCAGTACTACCTTCATAATCATAGCTATGCTGACAGTTGATAGAATTGGCCGAAAAGCATTGTTTATGATTGGGGGAACTCAAATGTTTCTGTCTCAAATAGTGGTTGGAGGAATAATGGCTGCTTTGTTGGGGGATCATGGTGGCCTAACAAAACTATGTGCTTACTTGGTTTTGGTTTTTATATGTATATACGTAGCTGGCTTTGCATTATCATGGGGTCCCTTGGGTTGGTTAGTCCCTAGTGAGATTTATCCACTAGAAATTCGATCAGCAGGCCAAAGTATTACAGTTGCTGTAGGCTTCCTCTTACGATTCATTGTTGGACAGACTTTTCTGGCCATGCTTTGCCAGTTCAAGTCAGGGACTTTCTTCTTTTTTGCTGGATGGTTGGCTGTGATGACTGCATTTGTGCATTTCTTACTACCAGAGACTAAGAATGTTCCAATTGAGCAGATGGAGAAAGTTTGGAGGGACCATTGGTTTTGGAAAAAAATTGTTGGAGAAGTGGATAAGGAGAGTAAGCTGCAAGGATCATAAATTAATATATAAGTGTAATTTGCATTAGATTACATAACTATTGCCAACTTTGACTTTTATTGTTGCATATATGCATGGGGTCCTATGATCCTGCTTAATTTGTATTTGATTTTAGACTAGTTTCTGTGTCCTAGTGGAAAACTACCCTAGCAATGGTCTAAGTACTGAAATACAGATCCTTTCAATGAAATTGTCAAGCTTCCCCTCATTTTTGAATTGCGCAGGAGTGCATCATGAGGAACAACCAGCAAAAATGTGGAAATTAAGTTTTTTCTCTGGACAACATTCTCTTCATGGAATTAATTTATCCAGATTAGTTAATGGTAGCCAAGGTGCAAATTACTCTTCAAGAGAGTACAGAGAAGAGATAAGAACAGAAAAGAAATGCAGGCAAACACTACATTAAGGCTTCTTCTTACCTAATAAGTGGTATTGCTTTTCCTTCCTCATCTCTTTTCAACCTGTCACTGCTTTGATAAATGAAATAGGGTAGAAATTCTGTTGAACTTCTGGTATTAAAACCTTTTCTCATGAATATTTATTCCTTAAAAATTACTTTTGGATTATTGCTTGGTTCTCATGATTTGCTTTTCTCACTAACTAGTGTCTAACCATTAGACATGTGGTTTGCTATTAAAGTGATCTATACTTTTAACTATAGGTCTAGAATTTAATTCCTAATCTCTATGTACCAATAAAAAACTAACTAGTGTCTATAATTAAATGGCTGATGAATTATTGCTTGTTAATTTATCAGAGTGAAAGATGTGGAGAAATAGGGACACTGGACCACGTGAATAGACTTTCTGGGATGTGACACAGAAAAGTAATTAGTAGATGTAGAAAAATTTACGTATATACTTTTTGTGTATGTCTCATGAAATTCATTAGGCATGTAAAAATTCTACAGTTAAAACTCATTTATAGCAACATTTTCCCTTGATTTCTGGAATCCTAGAGGAAATTAAATGGAAAGATAAAGACAGAAATACAAGACAGTTTAATCAGAACAAAAATAGCCTCCAGAACTGAACTTAAGACATATAATAAGTACCCAAAGAACAGAGGATGTTGTAGCGAACGGCTTGAGGTTTTGGTTCAGCTCCAAAGAAAGATGCAGAATAAGTACCACGGGATTAAGAAATTAAAGGAATAATAAAATGCACCACAATAAGAAAGATACAGAATTTACCTGGTTCAGTTTCAATTAATTTAGCCTATGTCCACAAACACCCACAAAAGAAATTCACTATTAAGTAAGGAGATATAATTTGTGGTACTCTCACAAATACTCAACCCCCAAGTGCACTCAAATCTCACTGGCAGTCTTTTTGAATGTGAGACATGCTCACTCAACAAAGAATTTTAAAGACTCTGCACTGGCTCACCCTCACCCAAAGCACTGTTAGCTCTCTTGTATTTTTCTTTGAGCTCACCCTGCCTTTTATTTCTTCTGATATTGCTGAATGCCAATGGCTTTTATAGCCAAAATCCCACCACCAACATAATGCAATGACAGCAAAATCATGACGCAATAAATGGTTTCCATGGCTCCATGTTTCTTGAAAATATTTGCAGCAAGTACACTCCATTTTGTCAAGGATTTCAGCTGCCACAAATTTTCTCACGCAAACATCATTTCAAGGCTGCAACTTGCAACATTATTTTCCATGCTGCTACAACTTGCCACTGAGACAACAGAGGAAACTTTTTTTGTTCTACAAATATGTCCAAATTTTAGTGCCTATAACAGAAATGTTTATAGATTTATTCATGAGCTACTTTTGAATTATTTTGTACTAAGCTTCTACAGTTACATTGAAGTTTGAAACTTATGAACTTCTTTAAAACATGTTACCAGGATCATATCTAGGTGTTTTCACCATCTTTTGTGCACTGTTTTATTTTCTATGTTTCTCCTGCGCACTCTGAATTGTCATATAAATCTTGAACTGTTTTTAGTATCTTACCAAGCTGGTGCCTTCATCTCCCCTACTTGTTTTGTATTTTTAAATTTTCGGAAGTTAACTACTTGTTGGTTCTTCCTTGCTGTTCTTGCTTCACGTTCTCGTCTCAATATTTCCTACAAGCAGTTGCAAAATTAAAGTAGCAGCAGTTATAAACTTTAAAAAGAATAACCGTCACAAAATTAGTAGGGTGTCAGTTACGTTTTTTCCTGTACAAGCTAGCCGCCACCCTCAAAATCCCTGCTATTCTTACTTCACGAACCCTCTCCTTGTCTGTTTCTTCTTTCCCTTCTCCATCATTTTCAATTACCTACAACATGATAAGATTATATGGAAATTATCTTATGGTTTACTCTTAATTTTGTGATAGTTACCTTCTAATCTTTATCTCTAATTGAAACAAATTATTCAAATCAGTTTTGGATATCTACAAACGTCAAAAACCGTACAGATATTATGAGTTTTCTGTTCAAAATATTAGTGGGGTTGAATTCTCTGGTTTGTGGAAGACTGCTTCTGCACCTTTCTTCTTTGTTTCTACACTGTTCCACCGCTGTTTTCTTCATATTTTCTGCTGTTCTTCTGGCCTTCAAATATGCTAATTCTGCTACAATTTTTTGCAACGTTTTGACATGAAAAACTCACTAACATGCCTGCCGTTTTGCTGTAAAATTTTCTGGTATGAAACAATCCGTTTCTAGCTACCTTGTTTTCTGGCGCATCCTACACTGTTTTAGCTAATTTTCCAGCTGATTTTGTCTCAAAGAAATCTGCTGTTATCTTGGTGAGAAATCAATGAAAAGGCAGGGATTATTCTAGCATTTTAATGCGGTTTTGCCTTTAAAAAAAAAAGGGGTGCTGCTGTCCTGCGGATTCTTGCACTTTCTTGGTGATTCCGCTTCCAATTTCCACAAATTTTTATCATTCCGTTTCTGCTCTAAAAACTCTACTATTTTTATGAATTTTCCTTGCCGTTTTCGTCAAGAATTCATCTAGGAAATATCCACTACTTTTCTTGCCTAAATTGGTTGCTAGCTTTGATTGTTGCTCTTCGTTAAAATTTTGGCTTTGTACTCCAACTGTTAGGCAAGATTAAGGCTGCTGTTTTGGGTCCTTTCTGCCTCATATCCGGGCTGTTACAACCTGGTTTCTTGGTTTGGATTCTCTTGGTATTAGGTTCTGATCATACTCACCACCTTAGCTCTTGGTTCTGCATGATTTTAACTTCTTATCTTGTGAGGTAAGTAAATTTTATGGTTTCACCCTTAGTTTTAAACTAAACTTTAAAAGCATGACTTTGGACTACTTTGAGATGGTTAAACCCGTTTTATATAAATTGCATGACATGATAGTGATTTTGGACATTTGGTTTTATATATTTTTTAGAACTTAAGCGTGCCATTAATTTATACATTATTTGCTAGCGATGCCATATTACCTGTCTTAAGATATATGCTGATTTAGAAAGAAATATGATTTATACATCTTGCATGATTTTATTTCTGACATGGTCAAGTGCTCATCAAGGAGGTTTCTAAACACTGGCCATGTCAACATGTTATATGTGAATCAGTTCATTTCTATCATTTTTGTATCTTGGTAATTTCTGTGCCTACCAGTGAGAGGAATTAAATGCTGGCCATGACCTTAGAGGAGATCACATATTGATTTTCCACACGTGGCATTCTGTTTCACTTTCTGATATATGTATTTTCAAGGATCTATTATTTGGCATGCTTTCTCATAAATAAAATAAAAGGGTTTTTCATAGTTTACTTAACGGGAATTTATCTTACATTTCTCCTTTTCTACCATTTCAGATAACAAGTTTAGAGACATGGGGATCAAGGCATGTGATGCTTTATGGCTAATTGATTTGGATAGATATTGAGCTAAGGTTTAGACTCGACATTATGACAATTTAGAATAATTAAGAACATTTTACATTATGATGACCTAGAAGTTATTGAAGGGTTTATAGTACAGTTAATCAAATTAAGAATTATAAACAAATTATTAGTCCGCATGATACATAAAAATTAGAAAAAATCACAAAGATTTCACAAGCGCAAAATCCTCCAAAAGTTCACACATGATGCCTCAATTCTGTCTCCTAAAGAAGTGATTGCTTCTCCTCCCACTAGGGAAGTGCAGTCATCCCAGCACTGCTTGTTATAGATGGAATAGAGAACTCACATGAATGTTTTTATACATTAGATTATACAACCTACATAATTTAGTTAAAAAATATAACAATAATTCATGGAGAACGTCTATTGACAAAAGTTACTCATAACGCCACATGACATCAGAACGAGTGGATGCATACTGATTCACGTGTAGAAAGAGTCAATATGTCTGGTCATGTTGTAAGATTTTTTTGTAAATAAAGTTTGTCAAATCATTTTGTACGGTATAACCTAAGTAATATAAATAACTAACTCTTCCAGGGATTCTTCCTGGACTGCATGTCTACACCACAACTAAGCTTGTGTTTTTTAGGGAGCTTAGAGGATATAGCCATGGCTTCTGGGTTACCAATAAAGGATGAAGGTGGGCAGTACAATGGCAGGATTACCTCAATCACTCTTCTTTCTTGCTTGATGGCTGCTGCAGGAGGATTCATCTTTGGTTGTGAACTTGGAATATCAGGTTACTCTCACTATAAACATCCTTGACTTTTCCCCACAATATTTCATCAATGAATTTCTGATCCTTGGAAACTATACTATTCATATCTTGACAGCTTGTGGTTGAAATGATTAGTACTTAAACTTATTCATGGTGATGACTTCCATTGGAACTGTGTAGGTGGAGTAACCTCCATGACACCATTTCTCAAGGAGTTCTTCCCAAATGTGTACAGAAAGATGAAAGAGGACACCAAGATTAGCAATTATTGCAAATTTGATAGCCAACATCTGACCTTGTTTACATCTTCACTCTACATAGCTGGTCTAATTTCTTCTTTCATTGCATCACCAGTTACTAGAGCTTTCGGGCGCAAGATATCAATCCTTGTGGGAGGGGTTGCTCTTCTTGCTGGTTCAGCACTAGGAGGTGCTGCTTTGAACTTGTACATGCTGATATTTGGCCGCGTTTTGCTTGGTTTTGGGCTTGGATTCACAAACCAGGTATCAATACCAAGCCCCTCTAGATCTTTTTTTTTTTTTTTTCTCTGTTTTGTGCAATCTTCTTCTCATGTTCTCACTGAGAAAGATTCAAACCAAACAAACAATAATGTGCAGAAGTTAAAATAAAGAGGAACCTACTGAAAGCCGAGTACCTAGAAAAAAAAAAAAAAATATATATATATATATATATATATATATACATCGTAAGCAAATAAATAGCAGAGAGAGGGAGCCCCTTTATGGGAGTTGGAAAAAGATGACTATGAAACTTTGAAATTGCTAAGCAAAATGTGTTCTAACTAGTGTTTATCTTGGTAAAGTTCTAATGGTTTTGTTAAAGCTCATATTTAATCTTGCTTTAAGCAGAGAAGAAGAAAGCTACCCTTTTAAGAAGTCCAACTACTGAGTTGTTTAAGCCAGCATACCCGAAAGATTCACAATAATACTTGAAACTTGGAAAATGTCAAAATGATCTACTTCTGAAACTGCAAGTTTGTCTATGGGTTTCTTGATTATCTTACTTTTTATGATAAAGATTTCTATGGTCTACAGTCAGTTCCACTATATGTCTCTGAAATGGCACTACCGCAACACAGAGGGAAAACCAACATTGTCTTTGAACTAGGTGTTGGCATTGGTGTACTTATAGCCAACATCACCAATTTTGGCACTGAAAAGATCGTGGGTGGATGGGGTTGGCGGATCTCCTTAGCCATATCAGCAGTCCCAGCAGCGATCCTAACACTATGTGCCCTCTTTCTTCCAGAAACACCCAACAATCTGATCCACGATAGCAAGAATCACCAGAAAGCTAAAAAGGTGCTACAGCGTGTACGAGGCACTGCTGATGTTGAAGCAGAATTTGACGATCTCATAAGAGCAAGCTCAGTCTCAAAAGTCATCAACCATCTATTTCAGAACATCATGAAAAGAAAGTACAGACCTCAAATAGTAATGGCAATAGCCATACCTTTTTTCCAACAAGTGACAGGAATCAATGTCATTACATTCTATGCTCCAATATTATTCAGGACAATTGGTGAAGGAGAAAGTGCTTCACTCATGTCTACAGTTGTGATTGGCCTTGTTGGCACCACCTTTATAATCCTATCTATGCTAACAGTTGATAAAATTGGCCGCAAAGCATTGTTTATGATTGGGGGAACTCTAATGTTTCTGTCACAAATAGTGGTTGGAGGAATAATGGCTGCTTTGTTGGGGGATTATGGAGACCTAACAAAAGTGTATGGTTACCTGGTTTTGGTCTTTATATGTCTATATGTAGCAGGGTTTTCATTATCATGGGGTCCATTAGGATGGTTAGTCCCTAGTGAGATTTATCCACTAGAAATTCGATCAGCTGGCCAAAGTATGACAGTTGCTGTAGTCTTCCTCCTATGTTTCATTGTTGGACAAACTTTTCTAGCTATGCTTTGCCAGTTCAAGTCAGGGACTTTCTTCTTTTTTGCTGGATGGTTGGCTGTGATGACTGCATTTGTGCATTTCTTATTACCAGAGACTAAGAATGTTCCGATGGAGCAGATGGAGAAAGTTTGGAGGGAACACTGGTTTTGGAAAGGAATCGTTGATGAAGCGGATGAGAATAGTAGGATGCAAGAAGGATCATAAAACTAGATTTAGATGTAATTGAATCTTATTTTCTTGCAGGACGTAACCAACTCGATGTTTGATGAAATTCATTAGGCAAGTAAATATGCAGCAGTTTAATTCATTAATTTGTGACGAGAACCTTTGGATCATGCTAGCTAGGTGGTGGGGTATTTCTTGTCAGTTCAGCTCTTGGTGGTGCAGCATCTAACATTTACATGCTTATTATATTCAGTCGTGTCTTGCTTGGTGTTGGTGTTGGATTTGCAAACCAGGATGCAGAATCTGTTCCCTCTAAATTTTTCCTTCATTCTTTTGCAAAATCTTTCTGGTTGTTCCATTGATCACAAATTTGATGCCGAGTACCTAGAGTTCATGTCATGTCTTTATTTTCCATTTTATTTGCTTTGCAATCAGTTCTACATCTCTGAAATGGCACTACCTAGACACAGAGGAGCAATGAACATGGGCTCTGAATGTAGCGTTGGCTTTGGAGTACTTTATAGCTAATCTCATCAATTTTTGGAATGCTAATCCAGCTTAAAAGCTTGAACTTTTTTTT